TCTTACCCCTTAATTTTCAGGAATTTGTTAGAGTAAGATTTTCCAACACTTAAATCTGTAACAATGTCCTCAGAAAACTAGGACCAAATACCAGGGAGACCGACTGAGTGTCCCAAGCAACAAATGACTTCCCATGGTTCCGAAGGATTACAGGTCAATACCAAACCATCTGCTGTGGCCTTTCTCCTTGGTTAGAAATTACTGCCTCCTCTGCACCTTCACCCTGCCACCTCTCTATGTGTCTATGACTTAATCTTGTCCATTTGTAAGGACAACAGACACATTTGATTAGGTCCCATCCTGATGACCCCATTTTAACTTGATGTCTTCTTTAAAAACATTATTGCCAATTATGGCTATATCCTGACTTTTATGTGTCAGATCTTGAATGTTTGAACTCTGAGGAGATCTAATTTGGCTGCTAACAGCCAGAACCTGTTACAGGGTTGTTCTAGTTTGTTCTAGTTGCTCTGTGTGTTCTAGTTTTAGTGCTGGACTACCCATTTACCTGCAGGAAAAAAATTCTTCAAGTATGCTGAGAAGCACAACATGGAGGAAAGACTCCTACAACTCCAACTACCACTTTTGTCTGCTAAAGCTCACTGGCCAGCAATAGCCTCTGAGATGAAACAAATCAGTGGTATGGCCTCTTTCCACCACTTTTCTTCTGTTTTAAGAAGCTAGGCAGGAATGCACCCAGCCTTAAGCCAGTTCCTTTTCCCAAGGAGGAATTTCTGGAGTGTTACTATTGAGAAAACAATTTCAGTGGCCAGCTAAAATAAATACACACACACACACACACACACACACACACACACACACACACGTTGATGGACTTAGGTAATTTGTATTAACAGATGAAAATGAGTTTAGTATGTCATTCAGAAAACAGCAAAATAGTTCAGTGGCACTTATATAACAAAATTCCTGGCACATCAGCCAGTCCAGGTGTGTAATGTACAGCAACCACGGCTAGCCATCTGGAACTCAACAACAGCACCAAGACGCCTACCCTGGGCCTGGGCACCTGGAAGTCTACTCCTGGCCAGGTGACTAAGGCTGTGAAGGTTGCTATTGACATGGAGTATCGCCACACTGACTGCACTCAGGTGTAACAGAAGGAAGTGGGAGTGGCCCTCCAGAAGAAGCTCAAGGAGCAGGTACTGAAGCGCCAGTCAGCAAGCTGTGGTGTACGTTCCACGAAAAGAGCATGGTGAAAGGAGCCTGCCAAAAGACACTCAGTGACCTGCAGCTGGATCTCTACCTTATTCATTAGCTGACGGGCCTCAAGCCTGGGCCCAATTATTTCTCACTGGATGCATCAGGAAACATGATTCCTAGTGACATGGATGTTGTGGACACTTGGACGGCTATGGAACAACTAGTGGATGAAGGTTTGGTAAAAGCAATTGGTGTTTCAACTTCAACCCTCTTCAGATTGAGAGGATCTTGAACAAACTTGGCTTAAAATACAAGCCTGTGGTTAAAGAGATCAAATGTCAGCCATACCTAACTCAAGAGAAGCTGACTGAATACTGCCATTGCAAAGGTATCATGGTGACTGCATACAGTCCCCTTGGTTCTCCTGACAGGCCCTGGGCCAACCCTGAAGATCCATCTCTCCTGGAAAATCCCAGGATCAAGGCAATTGCAGCCAAGTACAATAAAACTACAGCCCCGGTGCTGACACCAGAACGCATTGCTGAGAAAGTTAAGGTCTTTGAATTTGAGCTAAGCAGAGAGGACATGACCACTCTACTCAGCTACAACAGGAGCTGGAGGGTGGGCGCCTTGATGAGCTGTGCCAAACACAAGGATGACCCCTTCCACGCAAGTCTGAAGCCATGGAGGATGGATCCCTGCTCATCCCCAAGCAACTTACACCTGTTCTTTCTGCCTCATCTGCCCTTGCAAGTGTCCTGTGGCCTGTGTCCCTCTGCAATGGGTGGCACCTTGCAGATCAGATGGTGAGTTTGTTAATCTGATGTAGAATCTGGAGGGCAGTACCAGTAGCTGAGGTGTTTCTTCCAGCCTTTCTTGGTCTTTCTTCTTACCCACTTGGAGGACTTTAACATGAGTACCCTTTCCAACCAAAGAGAAGCAAGATTTATAGCCCAAGTTCTGCCACTAACATTTAAATTTGAGTGCTTAATCCTATGGGTTAGACTTCTCCTTGCCTCAAATAAAAGCTGCTTTGGTTAAAAAAAAAAAAAAAATCCCTTGTAATGTCACAGTCTCGAAGCTATTATATTACTCAAGATAAGATAACAACTCAAGTAATTATGTCACTAGGTAAAAATCATACATAAAATTATGAACTGGTGGAGTAACAAATCAGCTATACCAACCTCATTAATAGATTTAGTTTATTCTATAACCTTTAAAGATTCCTATTTTATTTATTTATTTATTTTGACACAGGGTCCAGGCTGCTCTGAAATTTATAGCGTTCTCCTACGCTTCTGAGTGCTGAGATTACAGGTATGTACCACCATAGCTGACTCTTTATACTGTGTTAATCACCTGAGCAATAAGGAGGTGAGGAAGTTTATAAGTGATACTATTACAGTCCAGAAAGTAGCACTACAGTGTCACTTTGTATGGATGTTTTCTGTTACAGATAATTTAAGAAAAGATTAAGGAGCAAAGAAACTCAAAAGAAAGTCAAGTCAATGAGAAAAGGGATAATCTAAAACTCCAGACTCTACGGACACTCAGGGTCTAGCTGACACTTGCCATTTTTAAAATGGGGTTAATCACAAATTATGATGAGAGAAAACTGTCCACATCCTCTGAAGTCTTGGTATCTGGCTGGCCTGGAACTCATGGATACTCCTGTATCAGTCTCTGTGTGCTTGGATTAAAGGTGTGTGCTATCACACTTAATAAAAAAAGTGTTAGCATCACCTCATAGCAGACAGATACAATTTTCCAAAATTTTTTTAGGGATGGACAAACCAAGCTAAATATGTGAAGACTTCTGTGGTCATGGCAGATCACTACACAAAGCATTCTTTTCACTGATGCCCTACTAGAAAGAATTCCATAGCCTTGGGATTTTTGCTTGGGGCTGGGACAGGACAGTCAAACTTGTACACCACAGATCTCCAAGTGTGTCACTGGTTTCCCTCTGAGAATACATAGGCTTCTCAGCACATAGATACATAGCCTATTCAAATCAAGAACTTTGGCACTCAAAACAAATGGAGGGGTCATCATACAAGATTTCAACAGGCTGCCTGCCTGTTAATTAGTCAGGAGAAAGAGGAGCAGGCCTAATGGAGGCCTGTAGTCTCCTGAGGTAGGTGAAAGGCACAAGAAGTTCATGGACAAGGACACATTCTATTTTCCTCAAAAGGGCTTTTTATATATACTCTGGCCTTGAACTTTGGATCCTCCTGTCTCCACTTCTAAGCACTGGCAATTGCACGACCCATCTGGTTATAGTCTACATTCTGGAACCAAGTGGTCACTGTATGTTTTTTCCCTTTGCTCAAAAACTGGCATACTTTATTGTATGACTTAAGAGGCTGAGGTCTGGTCTATCATCCACCAGAGGCTATTATGATCTGATGAGAATTAGCGTGTGGTTTGCTTGGCAATTAGTCAGCTTGCTCACCAACAGGGTTCAACGAAAGGCCAGAAACTAGTCTAAAAAAACATTATTTTTCTTTTGACAAAATATGGAACACATAGAACTTTTGTATGAGTTCGATAGTTTGCATGAATACTAGTATTATATATAAAATAATGCTTTAAAAAAACTAGTTTCTTCAAGAAAATCCTTACTTGAAAAAAAAAATCCAACCTCATTATAATAGATAATTGCTTATGGTACTGAAGATCCAACAAAAGAACATATATTTAGTGTATGCTCATCAAAATAATCCTCCCTCTCTCTTTTGCAGCTACTGGGGTCCAAACCAAGAATCTTAGATATGTCCAAAGATAAATCTTTGAGCTCTATCTCCAGCCTCCAAACAATTCTTTACACTAAATTTCAGCTGAAGGAATTTTAGTCAGATTTTATATGTTTTTGTATAGAAAAGGACTTGAATCCCAATAGATAGACAGATAATCATTTAAAAATACAGTATCATATATAGCTTAGACAATTTTGGCTTCAACCATTCCCAAGTGAAGAAATATAAATTCTGGCTATATCATTTACTAGCCAATGTGCCTCTAGCCTGGTGACTCTCCCACAAAGGTTACATAAAGATTCTTGCTCTAGGGCTATTGGGCCAAGAATGTGATGTGACTAGTATATAGCTGGTAACCTCCTTCCTCAAGGAGGTTAGCTGAAGAGATAAGCCAAGTAATGAGCACAACAACTGACAATAATGCACAAAAGACTCCTGGTGGCTGAGAGGGTTGAGTGCTTCTATGATTTGAGCCTTCCCTTCTTAGTTCCCTGACACCTATGTATAGACCTTCAGCCAATAATTCTCACAGAATCTGAGGTCTAGTCCAGCTAGGACATCATCACATAACCCTGGGAGCTAGGTGGACAGTTGTCCTCATGTGGCGGGGCTCCTCCATTGGACTTGCAGAGAGAATGGTGGAATGATGCTTGTGCAAATCAAGCCCCAGAATACAGAACTGATTTTCAGTATCTGAACTTGCCAAATATGTTAAAGCATGTACTATGTCCTCAGAATCCAAATGAAAACACTCTAATTTAGCTTTTGAACTTCTTGGGTTAGGCTTGTTGCCCACAGAGGAATATAGACTTTATTACTATGCTGATGTGACACAGGAACCCAAATATGAATCCCCAAAGAAATATTTACCTGTAACAGAGTTTCAGCAAATACTTCCTAAAACCAGAAAGTATTGCCAGCACCTGTTCCTGATCAAAGTGATGAGAAACACAATTCACTACATTTCCATAGCTAGGTTCCCTGCTGGGCTGGTTTAAAACAGTCAGCTAAGTTCACTCACTTTTTACCACCCCAAATAGGCATGGTATCCTTGTTACTCATTCCCGAAACACTTACATGTCCTCTACTGTGATGTCTTTCAGGATCTGGCAGTAATCCACATTCCATACAGCCTGGTCATCCCACACCTTAGAGGCCAGCAGGATTGCCCCTAGAACAATGCGCTTCCAATTGGCTGGACAGATGTCAATCTCTGCATATGTTAAGAGCCTTTCAAGGTATACCTGAGGAGACATGAGGAAACCAATGTTAAGCTTTCAGTTGTCTCCTCCACCCAAGTAAACTCAACAGTCTTTTAATCAGGAGTTACCTGGACATATTTATTTCTTTATATGAATAATTTGTTGTAATCAGTAAAAAAAAAAAAAAAAAAGTTTTCTAATGATGTCAAAGGTACTGACAAAATCAAGTACAGTAAACATATATAAAAAATTTGTTGAGTATACTTAAAATATACAACCTAAGATACTATTTTTTTACCTGTTTTTCTCCTCTTACTGAAAAACAGATTTTTTTTCTCACATACTATATTGTGACTACAGTTTTCCCTCCGTCTACTTCTCTCAGTTTCTGCCTACCTTCCATCCCAGTCAGATCCACTCCCTTTCTCTCCCTCATTAGGACACAGGATACTAAGGGATAGTACAAAAAAAATATAGTAAGCTAGAGCAAAAACTAACAGAGCCAGTGGAATTATACAAAACAAACAGAAGGAAAGGCGCTCAGGAGAAGGCACAAGAAACAGAACCACTCATTCTCACAATCAAGAATCAAGAATCTAACGAGAATGATCTGGAGGCCATAAATGCACCAGAACACACTACTTCTTAAAGCACTCGAGGCCAGTGAGTATGCTTAGAGACAAGCTATAACAGTGAAAATGTAGCTCACCTTGTCAATATTGAGACTGGTATAAATCCCAAAGCCACAGGTCAAAATACTTTCTCACATAAAGAATGTAATGGTCACAACCTAAGGAATTTTCTCTTAATTTATAAAGTATTTTATTCTTGATCTTAGCCAGTGCCCAAGAGGCCACTGACTTATATAGTATTTATTTTTAAAAATCATTGTTGTGTATGTATGATGTGTGAGGACATGTGCCATAGTGCATAGGTGGAAGCCAGAGGACGGCCTTACGGAGCCAGCTCTCTCCTTTCCTTTTCTGTGAGCTCTGGAGATGGAACACATGTCTCCAGGCTTGTGCTGCAAGTGCCTCTATCTCCTGAGCCATCTTGCTGCCTGTTTGTTAGTTTTTAAAGACAGGGTCTTACTATGTACCTCACAGAGATCCTCCTGCCTCTCTATCGGTTTTAAAAACTGAGCTTCACTGTTCACATGTGGCTGCTGCTATGGTTATTACTGTAGTAGAATGCACATGTCACAACATTATCGCACAATCATTTCTAATTGTATCTGCAGCACAACTGAGGTATGCTCCATGTTCAGTAACCATCTTTACCCATCAATATGTAGCTTTTTTATAGTCCCCAAACTCTACGCATATCTCTAAACAATTTCTTTCTCTTCCAGCCTCTGGAATTCTTCCTTTTCCAACTCCTACAAACACTACTGTACTTTTTGTTTCTATGAACAAGTATCTTATAAGTATTTTATTCAACATTTATCGTCTTGGGCCTGGTTTATTTTACTCAGTATAATGCATCTCCAGGATGAAACAGAGACCTGGATAAGGGAGGTGTCCAAGAATCCCACGAGAATCAATAGGGTTGTCCTTAGCTGTGACTCACAGCATAGGGGATATGGAACCTGAAGAGGCCACCTTCTGTAGCCAGGTGGGATTCCCAACAGAATGATAGGGACACCAACCCACCCACAAAACTTTTGACCCAAAATTTTTCTTTTGTTTTCTACAAGGGATCAAGCATAGACTAAGGGAATGGCCAACCAATAACCAGCCCAACTTGAGACTCATCCTATGGGCAAGTACCAATTCCTGACACTATTAATGATACTCTGTTTTTCTTGCAGATAGGAGTCTAACATGGCTGTCCTGTGAGACGCTCCACCCAGCAGCTGACTCAGATGCAGACACCCACAGGCAAACAGTGGATGGAGCTTGGAGACTCTTAGGAAAGAACAGGAGGAAGGATCACCACCCTAAAGGGGATAGGAACTCCACAGAAAGACCAACAGAGTCAACTAACCTTGGCCCTTGGGATTCTCAGAGACTGAAGCACCAACCAAAGAACATACATGGGCTGGACCTAAGCTTCCCCGCACATATGTAGCAGATGTGTAGCTTGGTCTTCATTTGAGTCCTGAACAACTAGAGCGGGGGCTACCCCAAAATCTGTTAACTGTATGTGGGATATGTTCTTCTTGCCAGGTGCCCTTGAAGAGACTTGATGTGCCAGCATGGGGGGATAGGGAGTGGATACCTAGAAGGGGAGGGAGGATTGTGTGAGGGGGTGACTAGGAGGAGGGCAGTGTGTGCTATGTAAATTTAGTAAGTAAAAAAATTTAAAAAACAAACAAATAAATAAGCAAACATATAAAGAAAACAAACAGGAAGTCTTTCACTCAAGCTGTCATACACAGGGTATAGAGATGGCTCAGAGGACCCAAGTTCTGTTCCAATACCCGTATCAGGTGGCTTACAATTCCCTATAACTCTACCTCCAGGGGATTCTTTGTCCTTTATGAGTGGTTACACACACACACACACACACACACACACACACACACACACTTTTTAAAAAACTGTGTGCTAAGTAAGTTGCCTATTAGTTTCCCATAGCTAAGTTAGACTATTGAAATCTTCTCTTAATCATAAATTTACTTTGTAGTTTTTATTGATATTCATTTACAAAATGAAACTCTGTATGAGAAAAATGAAACTCAGATTTGCAAAACTCTTAAGAACTTGCTTTATAAAGATAAAATATATATATATTATTCTTGCATATATATATGTATATATACTTATATTTGTACCGTCCTAAATATTTATAAAATGTATAAAAAGCCACATGTGGAAAAGAAAATATTTAACTTTGATAAAGTCCAATTTATTTATTTTTTATATAATTCTTGCTTTGTATGTCTTTTTTTACTTACTTATTTATAAATATTTTATTCACACCCCAGTTGGGACTCTTAGGGAAAAGTTGGGGGTAAGGATTGAAGGCCCTGAAGGGGTTAAGAACTCTACAGGAAGCCCAACAGAGGATAGAGATTTCCTAAAGAAAGAAAACTTGGGTTGGTACTGAGGGCTCTCCGGAGAGGCTCAATTTTGGCAAGTCCTAGAGAATCAGGACAGTAGCACAGGCTAGCAGAGATGTACTAGGTGAAGTGAAACATAAGACATCAGGCAGCACCACAGACTTAATGACAGCAGACAACAGAAAGCGGACAGATCTATGAGGCCACTTACCTGCCAATCAGTATCTAGGTAAAGATCCCAGTGGATGCACTATACTGACCCTGAGCCTCCAATCAGGGTGAGAGAGAGGCCTGGGAAGCACCAATGACTTAAAATAGCACTTGGAAGAAAAATTATGGATCAGGCTAAATAGAGAAAGTAGTGTTTTCTGTGGAGACTATCTAGATATAGTCCAGATACTGGGTGGAAATGACCTCGAAGCCACCAAAGATGGTCATCTTGGAAGTACCCAAGGCTTCTGGAATGTGCAGTTGGCTAAATACATTTATTAGAAACAGGAGGTGCCAGAGGGAAAACGCTATGGAAGGTGACTGCAGATCATCTGACTGTGTTCCATAGGTTGTGAGCATGCAGAGCAAAGGAGACATGACTGAGCTGTTAACCTGAATCTGTGCAGGCAGATCCAAGGCCCGAAACAAAGACCCGCGCCGCCGAGGGGGGGGGGGGGGTTAAGAAGAGGAGGGGAATCCCTTCCCTTGTTTGGAGCTGGAGACAGTATGATGGAGCAGGAAGCTGGAGGGAAAAGTAGATCTGGCACATTCTCTTTGTTGTGCTCATTCCTTTGTCATTCCTCAAGAGTTTTCCACACACTTCCAAGTACCCAGGAAGGAAATGGAATTTCTGTCTCTCATAGTAACCAATAGAGATTAAACTCAGCATTAATGACAGGGAAGCAGTTAAGAGGGTAGACTGGGAGTAGAGATGAGGGTAGAAAAGGGGAATGGAGAAGCTTCGTTTTGGAAGCAAAACTCTGGCTGCTTGAGGAAATCACAAGTCAGTGCGGCAGGGTACCTGGGCCTGCTCCTCTGACAGCATTTCCTGCCCCTGAATCACATATAGCAAGATTGTTCTACCCAAGAGTGTTGAAAAATCAACTGCTCACTACTGCTCCCCACAACTGAAGCAAATTTTGCCAGGTATGCATAAAATAAGACAGTAACAGTTGCTTGGTTCCCAAAGGTCACTGTTCTGTTTTCAGTGATTTACTAATAAATACCAGATTTTAAGATCTTGATCTTATGGTTACTCTCTAATATCATGTGGTGTGCAGGATGACCAGGATACACTGAATGCAAAGGAAAAACTTACAGTTGTGTGTTATCACACTTAGCAAGAACTAACATTCCAGGTCCCAAAAAAGAGTCAGTAAAGTGTGTTAAGAGACCTCAGACTTACTGAAGCAGTAAGATATGGAAATATCTCAGTATATTTAAGTATTTTCATTCTCACTTTCTATAATAAATCCTAAGTTCCTGATGACAGGTCTGCATCAGCCCCACTGTGTGCCACCCTGCACTATGCTAGGACACAGTAATGCTGCCAAAATGTCTGTTTTTTAATGTACCCTCAATCCCACAGGAGACATCCATTAATGAAATCTGCTTAGAACTGTGAGCAGCCTCAGCCCAACAGGGATAATAGCAGGGCTCTAAGTACAAGGAGATGCAGAGGATGGGGAAAGTGACCAGATGCCAAAGGCATTCAGGAAAGAACTGGCACAGATAGTGGGAGCTGAAGCAATGAGGTTTTGAGGGACAGCTCAAAGTGATCAAGAAGTCATTCTTCTGCATTACCCATAAAAATTAGAGGCTACCCAGGGAGGCCCAGAAAATCAGGAGTCAGAATACAGACTGCTCTATGAGAGTATCTGTGGCTGTCTCTAAGGATTTGTCATAAAATGAGAGCCTGCTGTTGACCACAGATATGAAAGTTACTCATTTCAGTAACAACGTCTGGATAACTAAGTTTTAAATGGAATTTATCAAACAGGAGCATGAGCAGTGAGAAAGTCTTTTAGACCGTGATTTTTATTTGTATAAAACAAGTAGCTGGGTGGGGCCAGGCTGACTTTCAGCTGGGCATCTTAGAGAAACTCATGTTGTACTTTCCCAAATCTTGACAATAGGCTTTTCCCATTCTCTACAGGGTTAATCAGATAAAATTATACTGAAGGGAGAAAACAGAAACTGAGATGACCTATGCCTCTCAGTTCACAGAGTCTGGAGGCAGGATGTAGCATCTTCCCATATCTTGGTAACAGCTTCTATCCACAAGTTGGGGAAAATCTCAGCAATGAAGTAATTCCCACTGGTTTAGGTAGAAAGGTAGCTGTGAAACTTTATTTTGAGTTAAAATGATCTTAGATCATGGATACTAATAACACACTAGGCACTGCTTGTTAAAAGAACCAACTTGATTTCTGATATGTTATTGATATCCTGAGGGCTTACTGAAGGAAGACTTCATAACATGTTACATGTGAGGAAAGCAGCTGATACACTGTGGGAGATAACTGTAGTGAACACATCTTACTAGCATGTGATTCAGCAGAACTTGTCAGTAATACCAAATTTCCTGGGGACTTTCTAATTCTATGCAAAGTCAAGTAATAACATCCAACTGATTTTCATGATATTATTTCTAGACAGTGCTAACAGGACACTGTTCAATTAAAATTTGACATTATAGTTATGCAAAAGGCTATCCTATGGACTTTCTAGACAACACAGGTTAGTGCCAACTGTGGAATCACAGAGTACTCCATTGATCACAGACAAAGAAAAGCTATTTTAGGGTATTTCAAAGGTATTTTAGGGCAGAAGATTAAATTCAAGCTCAACAAAGGACAGACATAAAGAAAACTTCAACAGTGATGAAATGATTCCTACCTGAATTTTAAAAATTATGTAGGTGAGGTGAATGGCCTGAATTCAAACAATATACAATTTCTTTTGGATATTAATCTTGTAGTCTTATAATTATTTGGTTTAGCTAATCAGAGATGACCCCAATAAGGCCTAGGTCAAGAATATAAAATGGAGCTGACATCTTCATTCCATCTCCAATTATATCCTATTTCAGATGTTATCATGTCTATTTTAAGGCATGAGAATTATTATTCAAACTCACAGCTCTCAACAATGGTCTACAGATTCAAACTTGGAGCCAAGAAACAAACTATTTTAAGGGAATAACTACAGCTTCTTGCTTTTAATTTTTTTTTTTTTACAAGTTTCCATTTGGCTTTTTAGTACTTGATGTATAGAATGTTTCAACAGACAGCCAGGACTGCAGGTCAGTGTAGGAGCTACTGTGCTGGCATGAGCACATCTTAGATTTGATCCTCAGCACAGCAGCATCACCCCTTCCCACCTCTCTCTTCCCCCTTCATTCCTAGGATTTTTGTGTTGCATAGGCTGGCCTTGTACTCCATGGCACATGTGATCCTCCTGCCTCAGCCTCCCAAGTATTTAGAACTTTAGGGGCATGACATCATATCCAGATAAATTTGTTTTGTTTTTAAAGTCACTTAGCTCATGGTACTTTATTATAGAACAAGTCTGAAAGTCTTGATGGTTACCGCAAGTGAAAATGAAAACACTGGCTTTATTTATTTGGCTTGGCATTTCTACAGAAAACTGAGTAAGCCATTAAATAAAATTGCCATTAGAAAGTTTGGTTCTGTCCGCTCTTTCAACAGCAGAAAACTCCTCCCTGCATTTCTAAGTAGCAAAGAGTGGCTACTAAGAAAACCTCAAGCATGACGAGCACATTAGCGCACACATACAAATGGTTTAGTTTTATAATCGGAGCAACATTATTTTTTGTTCTTAAGAGTCTTTGCAGTCCTGGAGTGTACTATATATACCCAATCTGTGGTGTATATAGTAAAGAGTGAACACAGCAGGCCCAAGGTTTGTTCTTAGAAGGAGTCTGCTTCTATGGCTATCCCTCAGTTGATGTGAGTGGGCTGGGAACAGAGTGAGCACAGAAGGAGAAAGATGAGGATTGAGATCATTAATTTACAATATTGATACATTTATGTCATGAACAGAAATGTCAGTTAAACCCACTAATCAATATTAACATATATTATTATTATTTACATTAATAACTCAAAGTTTTCTTACAACATAAATTTTACCATTAATCTCAATTGTCTTCCAACTTTTCAGCCCTTCTTTTCCAGACACTATCAACCCTGCTGCTCATTTTTTGTTTTGTAAGACAAATTCCTGTTAGGATACAGTGTGCACACACTTCCCAGTTTGATCTTAGAACCTATGGTCATTCTGGATTGGTAAGGATTATCTGAACAAGTCTCACTCTGCAGCCAGCCAGGGAGTGATGAACCACAAACCAACACACAAATGAGCAAATGGCTTACTGTTGAGTTACCCCAAGCCATAAAAGCTTAGTGTGGGGAGATGTAGTACCAAGCCTTCTGTGAGCTTTCTGTTAGACAAAAATCTCTCCAGAAACTAGGCAGCAGAGTCTGCTCTCCAGGCATATCCACTCACAGGCAAAGCTTCTCATCTGAGTGCTGTGCTATGTAAAGGTTAGGTTACACTCTTAAACCTACTTCTCAAATAACTGATCTAGCCAGTCCCTGAGGTTTTAAACTGGCTATCCTACAATGTTATATAAAACAAAACAGAAGCTAGTCATAGTCACACTTCTTATATCTAGGCCAAGGATGCATATACTTCATTGACACTTTACATCTTGAAATGCTGTCATTAAAACTGTAGGAGGAAGTGAACAGAGGGCAGCCTGACATTGGTAGAGGAAGTTCTTAGTCCATACTGCCCTGCATCAGCCCTGCTGGGTGCATCTGCATTGAAAACATCAGTGCTGAAAGCACTTACTAGCTTTGAGTGGGACTTCACAGATGATTTAGAAGGGAACTATGAAATACTCTCCACACTCTCTTGAGACATCCACTATCTCACAGAAGACACTGAAACTTCCCTAAGTTTCCCCAGGGTCATCTGACACTCACCAGGGTGACAATGGCACATTCAGCAGTCAACTGAGCAGCACTGAACAGTGTCCGAACGAACCGGTAAATCTGCTTCTGCTCTGGGTTATGTTTGTCATAATCTGGTGGCACTTCGGATTTCTAGAAGAGAAAGAAGTTTTCAGATGACTGCCACCTAGCAGGATCAAGACTGCTAACTAAACCATCTCATGAAACATAAGGAGGCAATTACCGAAAGAGGGTGGAGGTTTTCATCAAAAATATCTAAGAGCATCCTTCCATCTGGGTCCCTGGTAAGGAAAGCAATAGACATTAAGAGTTTACTTTCTTCAGAATAAATTCTATTCAAAATGAAATATAACACATTTCAGTTCAACTGTAGTTTAAGAGACAGAAAGTGCTAAATTTAAGAGACACTGCTAGTTTTCTCAAGTTCAGCATTTAATCCACTTTTGTTGAAAAAGCCACAAAGATTAAAACTTCTAGGTGAAATTAAGTAAAAGTGTAGATTTTAATTTTCCAACACTCTTCTCTTCATTTCTTAGCTTAAGTAAATACAAAGCAATGGTTTTCATCTTGACATCTTCATACAAGTGTCAATTATTTTTTCTTGTTCATTTCTCTTCCATGCTCCTCTTCCCCATGTCTTCTCTCCAACTCTGCCTGCTTCTCAGTAAGGCTGACTGCCTTGGTCAGTTCTTTACCTCATGTATTCCACAGCTTTCACAATTTTCTGCCTTTTCAAGATCCCCTATGGCTCTATAAATGAACCAAACCTAAAATGACCTAATTTTATCAGGCTTTTTCCCGATGGTTAGTAAGTATACGGTGATGGGTGTGGGGAAAAGGGGCATGCAGCAGACAACAGAAATCAGTCTTAAATTGTCACAACACACACTGCTAACTCTAGCAACGAAGTGATTCTGAGATATTTCTAGCAGCACTCATCTGTGGCCAATCATGTGACTACACTTCAGCTTTTGTTCTGAACACACAGCATGCATACTGTAGCTTGCATGCCAAACAATGCCAAGGAAACTGCCTGAAACCCCCCAGCTTGGACTTGAAACTCCTGGATATTATGAACCACAGTGTTTCTTACTATACAAAGGTATCTGACTTTATAGAATCATAATGATCTGATTATGAAAAACAAATAATTTTGGTATTTTCCTATTGTCATTTCTCAGTACAGAAGCATCAAAATTAACACCTCTGAATTATACTGTGTTACAATACCTGATTTTTCAAAATGCAGTTTGGGTTGTTGACTTGAGTTTCATCAACTATTACTCAGTAAATTTGATATGGGAAAGAACAGAATATCCAGCAACTTCTGAAATGGCCCTAAAACATACTTCTGCCATTTTGTATTGGATATGTATATGAAGCAGCATCCTCAACGTCTGTGTCCTGCAGTTCAGCTAAAATTTCTTTATGTAAAAATAAATAAGCACATCCCTCTCACTACTACACAAATTTGTTTTCCTTTTTAATAAATGGTAAAATTGTGCTTTATAATGTAGTGAACTCATACCAGCATATGTTTGGTTTGTATATGTATTTTATAAACCAATACAGAAGGCTCATGAATGGAAACATGTTTAGAAGCACTGGACCATTCAGTACACAAGGCTGCCAGCCATGGCTCTATATGTAGGAAACAGGGTTGTGGCCTCAGGTTCACACACTGCTTTGGGATACTGGGGTGTAGTCCACACAGCAACTTGGGCTGGCTTCTGATCTCATAGTGCCTTCAACTGTTGTTTTACACACTGCTTTGGGCTACTGGCCTGTGGCCCACACAGTGCTTTGGATCACCGCTGGCAACCAACTTATATAGAATCTTGAGCTGATGGCTTCAGATATATAGTGTTTTGTGCTGCTGGTTTCTGGTGTACAAAGTGCTCTGAGCTGCTGGCTTTTCATCTGTACAGTGCTTTAAGCTACTGACCACTCAGAACCTTAGGCTACTGGCTTCTTCTGGTCCACACAGTGCCTTGAATTGCTAGCTTCTAGTCGACACAGAATTAAGGGATACTAACTGATGCTTTTCACAGCAGTTTGGGCTTTGGGCCTCTGACCTACAAAGTTCTTTGAGATGTTGGATACTACTCTTTGGTGCTTTGGGCTGCTGGCCTCTGGTCAACTCAGAGCCTTGAAGTTTTAATCTCTATAGAGGGCATGTCACCTGATCAGTAACAGATCTACTTACATTCAACTGTTTAATATAATTTGAGTTTTGCCTACAAATTTCATTTAAAAGCCACAATGGTGAACAGGTCCTACTTTGCTTTTCTTCTAAAGTGATAAAACACTAAAACTACTCTGGAGAGAAAAGGGACCTTTGGCTTATATGTCCTGATCACAGATGATCACTAAGAGAAGTTGAGGCAGAAATTCAAGATAGGAACCTGGAGCTAGGAGTTGAAGGCAGAGACCATGAATAAATGCTGCTACTGGCTTACTTCTAATGGCTTGCCTAGTTTGATATTTTTTTATACAACCTAGGACTACCTGCCCAGGGGTAGAAATGTCCACAGTCAAATGGGACCTCCTAAATCAACTCTCAATCAGAAAGCGTCCCCTTAGACGTACTATAGGCTACTCTGATGGAGACATTTTCTCAATTGAGGTTCTGTCTTAGCAGATGACTCTAGCTTACATTAAGTTGACAAAACATGTAAAGAAAGAAACAACCTCACAGTGATTTTTGGGTAAAACCACAAAATTTCCAGTTTGTATATAAAGTTTAGGCTCAGTTTGAGAACACTAGGCTTACTGACCTAATCCTAAATATATTTATCATATTAAACACTCCAATATCTGCTTTATAAATTTAGCATCTCTATAAAACAGCTCAGTGTTCATTCCAGCACTGAGCATAGGAACTGATCAAAAATTCTGAGTATCTCTACCTGTGCCCTGTGCCTGTTCATAAGAGCCTAGCAGCAAGGGCATAGACAAACCCAAGTGAAAAGAAAAGCTCAGGCTCTGTAACTTGAAAGCAAAAGTTCCTCTTGTGTGCACCTGGCTGCAATGTCTCTGACCATGTTTCCAGCCACTAGGCGTCAGCAGATCCCTTCAATTTCCCTGTGGCAAGCCACTCAAAAACCTGGTCAGCACAAAACTTACTTTTGACCACCAAAAGTGCTATTTAATTTTTCCTAGTGAATGGAAACCCTTAAAAACCATCCAGTATACCAGAGAAACATTTGCCACAACTACTTTAGGAAAACAGATTAAGAATATGACTGAAGAAGATAGGGAATGTTGGTAGCATCTGCCTAATATGAATGAAGGTCTGAGCATGGCAAAAGTTAAGTGTGTTGTTGTACTCCTGTAATGTCAGTACTTGAGAGTAGCTCTATGTTCAAGATCATTCTTGATTACATAGTAAACTTGAAGCCAGCCTGAGATACCTAAGATCCATCTCAGGGGGTGGGAGGTAGGGGGGTGGAGGGGTAGGGCACAGTGAGAGAACAAAAAATAAAGAAAAAAGATTAAGAACTTAAGCTAAGATGACTGAGAAAATTTAATGAATCTCTTTGAGAAATGGACTTGTTTCCTTCCCCATCCATACCAAACTACGTGTCTCAGGCAAACAGTACTAGATCCATCTAGCTGGAGGATGAATAGCTAGCCCTATAGGGCTGTTTATAGGCTGTTCACAACAAATTCTGAAGACAAGTCATTTGCTCTGCACTCCCAGAGAGACTTAGGCTTCCATCTGAGATTAGTCTGACCAGCTCTATACTTTCTCCACTTCAGCTCACCTTTGGCCCAGTTTATCAGCACGCATCTACAAGAGCAATGGTATTACAAAGTGTAGCTGGTAGACTGGCTCAACTCCAAATTTCTCAATCGCCTTGATGTACAGCCTTATGGCATTACTGAATCTCTCTGTGATATGGCTCCCATAGGCTCTTATGTTTGAATGCTTGCTCATTAGGGAGAGGCACTACTTGATAGGAATCAGGAAGTGTAGCCTTGGAGAAGTGTGTAACTGGGGGTGGGTTTTAGGGCTGTGAATGTTCAAGCCAGACCTAGTACCTCTTTTTCTTCCTGCTGCCCGCCAATCCTGACAGACCTCTCTGCTCCATCTCCAGCACCATGTCTTCCTGTGTGCTACCACGCTTCTTGCCCTACTGACAATGGCCTAAACTGATAAATGTGAGCAAGCTGCAATGAAAGAGTTCTGTTTTAAGTGCTGCCATGTTCATGGTGTCTTTTCAGAGCAAGAGAACACTGACTAAGAAACTCTGTTCCTCAATTCCCTTATCTGTAAAATGTAGACAATCAAAGTAGCACTTCTAAAAATCTTTTATTAAACTGAAAAATTCATACAAAGACTGACAAGAGAAGTCTGAGCAAACACTTAATAAAGTTGTTTGCTATCAACAATTATAGCTAAATAGACTTTGAGATGTGCTTCGTTGGCAGAGGGCAGACTCTGCATCCATAGAACCTTGGCCCAATTCTTGGCACCAAAACAAGAAAAGAAACAAGGAATCTCTTTAAGTATGCTAATTAAAAGTTGGTTTAAAAGCACATCTGAGTCTCACTAAAGGTCTTACATGTAACTTTGGCATCACTGTTTTCAAAGTTTGAACTTGTACCACAGAAATGACAGGACAACACTTGAATTATTACTGTTATCCTAGCTCAGATACCAAAGATGTTCTCTTTGTAGTTCTTACATCTAAAATTCTCAGGAGCTACAATGCATACAATCACAATTACAGTACTAGAACAGTCCACTACAATGAACTCCTTCCAGGTGCTTGGTATGTTCACACAGCTGTCTCCCTAGGATACTGCTCCCCAGAGGCTGCCATGCACATTGGGACCACAAGGCCTAACAACTCTCTCCTCACATGTAAACAGCCTGCGGAGGCTGCTATGGAGGCAGCCAGTGGGCAGCTATCTTACTGTTTGGAGCCCTTCCTATTCCCAAACTCGTTTTGCACACAACATCATGTCTATAAACACAGCACATTGATCACTAAAACGCGGCGGTGGAGAAACAGCCTTTGTGGCAAAAATTAAGAGCATGTTTTCTAAAAAGCCCAATAAAAGGAAATCATTGAAAAGAAGTTTGGTACATATGTGGTCAAAACTGAAAGATTCTATACTCAGTGCTCTGCAGATACCTTTCAGAATCCTTACTATTGGGTTAAACATGTTTGAAAAAGCAGTATTAAAAAAAGAAAAGAAAAAGAAAAAAAAAAAGAAAAAATGGTATTACAGATATGGCTTAATGCCCCAGATCTGAAGCAAGTTTTGATGCTCAATTAAATTAGCAAATAAAATAATTATCAACCTTTTCTTCCCTTTTAAAATTTGTTTTTATGATTTTTTTGTTATGTTTCTGGCATGTCTCAACATGTGTGTGTCCGTGTGAGTGCCAGGCTCTGCAAAAGTTGGAGGTATCAGATGCACTTTGAGCTGCAGTTTTGAGGTTGTGAGCTGCCTGATATGGGTACTGGAAACCAAATGCAGGTTCTCTGCAAGAGCAGTATATACTCTTAACTATTCAGTTTTCTTTCAGGCTCACTCCTGCCACCCCCTGCCCTTAAAAAAAAAAATGTGGCTACCTGTGTGAGAGTATGCTCATATGTGGAGGTGCCCTAGAGAGGCCAGAGGAGAGTATCATATTCCTTGAGCTGGAATTATAGTCACTTTTGAAGAGCACAATATAGGTGCTAGGAGCCATCTATATTATGACAGAGCTCTTATTTAACTCACTTCTATAGAGTCTCCTTAAAAACTTATTACTGTGTTAAAGGTAGGTTTAAAAAAAATCTAGTTTTACCTCACTTTTCAAACTAACAGAACCACTGCAAGATGTACTTTTATCAGGAAGACCTTCTACCTTGTTTTGTTTTGCATGTCAAAATTTCCACCAACTGAATTCAAACTAAATCTAACATTTTATAAAATACAGAATGTGTAACTAAGTTGCACAGAAAATAACAAAGAAGAATTTGAGCCTTTTCAAGAAGTCTGCTCTTGCCACACCACCACGTGGCTGTTTCCTTGGTCCAGAGGTAGCTTGGCTTTTACCCAGCACTCTGGTGCTTTAACCTTTACAAGCCATGTGAAAAACATGTGCTAAAAATATAAATGCAAAGAATATACAGGGAAATCATGGTAAGACGATGTGTGATACTTTAGAACAGAATTAAATGGCCACATACCTGTTTTTGATGTGGTAATATATCGCAAGAGCTACACTGTAAAATAAAACACAGGAATTCAATGTTCCATAAACACACTCATCATTTCATGTACTAGGCACTATCAGGCACATAAATTTAAATATAAGCCACACAGTCCATCTGAAAAGCCCCATTTCCTCCACAGTGCTGATACGATCATGCTCCATATTAGGGCACTCAGATATTCACTCCCAGGGTTTTTAGATTACTTTTGGAAATAACAGAGTAATGGGGGACTTACAGCTTTTCTATCAGATTGTAAGCTTCGCTCACTTTTAAAATGTAGGTATCATATAAAAGTACTACAAATTAAACCTACTTAGGAGCCTGCAATTCATGGCCTACTTGGTTAGCAAATTATTAGTTGTTTTCATAACTACCAGAAAGAATAACAAGCAGCACAAACAGTGGCTGGCCTTTTCAAATACATGAATGTAATAAACATTCATTCTCCTCAAATTTTCTTTTCTAATATAAAATACAATATACTCACCATAAGAACTTTGGAAAGTTTAGAAAGCATAAAAAAAAAAATCTGAGGTGAGATGTAGTTCAGTGGGAAGAGTGCTTGCCTAGCATGAGTATGGCCCTGGATTGCATTCCCAGTACAGGGGAAAGTAACCTTAAAATAATAGTTTTTAGCCAAGCCTGGTGATGAATACTTGTAATCCCATCACTTGGGAAGCAGGAGAATTGTTAATTTGAGGCTAGCATGGGTACATAGAAAGAGTATGTCACTAAATAAAACACACACACAAAACACAGAAAACCAAAAACCAATCTTTTAACCCCCCAAAATTACTATCAGTTTGAGATACTAAGTTATTATCTTTACTTATATGTGTGTGAAAAAAGAGGCTGGCATCCTATGCTTAGATAGCCATGTTGTTGCTTTGTTGTTTGTTTGTTTGTTTGTTTTTACCCTCAGAAAATATTGCTAATAAACATGATTTTAAAAGCTACTACCTATATTTTATAATTTGATTATTGACTAGTTACTGTATCATTCTCTGTGGCTGAATATTTAAATTGTATGTACTGTTTGGTAATTAATTCACTACATATTAAACAGGCTTACAAATATCTATGCAAGCTGTGGTTATGTTACGTCTACAGGAGAGCATCCTATCTACACTGGGATGACTTGGTAGGTGGGGCTCCCAACACAGACTGCAGGTGTCTTTGTACTCCCACTCGTGTCTTTTCACGGCAGATTCACTGACACTCACCTTGAACATATTGATAAAACCTTTTCCATCTGAACAGAAAATAGCATAGTTTTTATCAGAATCAAGTAAACTGGCTACTTTTAAATTTTCTTCTTTAAAAAAATAATTATCTAAAATTGTCTTACTTTAAATGTTAAAAAAAAATGCCTCAAAGTTATTTTCTTTGCCTCTAAGGACTGCAATATGCTCTGGTTCTCAGAGAATAAAAATAGCCTTCAGGAGACTACGAGAGGTAAAGATGGCAGGAGGAGTGACAGCAGTGCCAGCTCTTGAGGTATGTACTGCATCTACTGAGACTGAACTAGGACAGACCCTGGCACAGGGCAAAGAAGCAAGTAACAAGTCTTTCCTCCTAAATTGCTAAGGATCTGGGCTAATGAGGGGGAATCTATGACTAACGTAAAATGGCTTCAGAGTTAAGGTAATACTGTTCTCAGAATAGCTTCCCATACATTCCTATCTCTATCATAGACCCTGTATTCTGAATCAGATATTTCAGAGTCAGATAGATCAGATCAGGATTTTTGACTAGTACATAGTATGTGTCCTCTTTTTCTACCTGCTTCTCTGGATATGCTACATCCTTCTCTCTCATCTCTAGCTTGCTACTGGGAAGAAGACCTAAGGTTCAATGGAAGCTGATAGCTTTACTCCAGGCTCTTCAGAGCTTGAGCAGCTGCCAAGAACCACACGGCACAAACATTTTCAGACCTTTTTACTTTTATCCACAAGATCTATGTACTTCTAAAAGGCTCCATATTGAATGGGTTTAGAGAGGTCACTCACATAATTACACTATGTATAATGCATCTCTTCCCAGTTTTCCATGAACATAAACTCAGGGGCACCCAGGCAAAGGAACCCTATGTGATAAAGCATACATACAGAAGCGGCCTCTGTTTCCCCCTTACAGAACTAAGACACAGACCACGGAAGTCATAGTCCTCAATGCCTCGACCGAGTGACTGTCATATACAATCCTATACAGTGCTTCTAACTCAGTAAACTTGGCCAATGAAAACAAGTTTATAGGTGGTAATTTTAGTACTTCATGCATTAAAATGAGTTGTTATTAGATGTAAACTTTCTTAAGGAAACAGAGATTAAATATCTGAGACTGTAAGTCAAGCTGTAAAGTTCTCTGAGACCCTTCCAAGGGTTGCTGTTGCTATCACTGTGCTGATGGGGACAGGACAGTACAAGAAAACTAGTGTTCTTTGCTTCTTTAAACAAGGAAAGTGAGTCCACCCCCAAAAAAGCCTCCCTCTTCTTCCCTCTATGTCCATTTTAAGACAAGGATCTGAGGCCCCTGGCTAGACCATCCCACTCTAGCCATTAATTAGCTCAAGTCCCGATCTGGGACTGGAGGGGAAAGGTTTCATTTCATTTACTAGTCAAAATACCATTGGCACTGTGCAGGAATAGCTTCAGTCACAACTGAAAGGGCAAAACTGCACATGTATACAGACAAACCAGTGGACATATTTTAGGTCATCAATATTTAAAATAAAGTGAAATGCTAATCTCTCAATATTTATGATAAACGTCCCCAAATATTCTAAATAATCCATCACTTTTAATAAACAATCTCTAAGTGTCAGTGACCCTCACATTCAATAAACTGCTTGGCACCAGTGATTCTGGGAAGTCTGAACACTCTGGGGCCATTCAGTGAACACATCTGGAGAGATGGCTCAGCGGTTACAAGCACAGGCTACTCTTATAGATCATTCCAAGCAGTCACATGGCAGCTCACAACTCTTTGTAACTCCATTCCCAGAGGGTCCTAGGCCCTCTTCTGGCCTCCAAGAGCACATAATTCACAAACATACATGCAGGCAAAACACCCATAATACATAAAACAAAAGTATCTTGAAAAAGTATCTTGCTAGACATTGTGGCCCATGCTTTTAATCCCAGAACTTGGGAGGCAGAGGAAGGAAGATCTCTGTGAGCTCAAGGCTAACCTGGTCTACAGGTAGTTCCAGGATAGCCAAAACTAGAGAGACCTTGTCTTAAAACAGCACCATAAGAAGGAACAAACAACCCCCCCACAAACTCAAAAACAAAGAAGTCGGTATACCCACCATTTGATGGTATACTTGAGGTTTGGCTGGCTGACTGTGCTGTCATCTAGGAAGATGGTAGAGCAGGAGCTGTATTTCCTTGATGTCTGCCCTGGAGGATGCTAGAAAACAAGATGACAATAGGTACACAAGACTTAAAGTTCTACCAAGCAGTCCTTGCCAGCTAGTTTTTGTCAATTTGATACAAGCTCAAGTCATTAGAGGGAAGGAACCTCAGTTGAGAAAGTGCCCCTACCAGATTGGTCTATGGGCATTTTCTTGGATAGTGATCAATGTCGGAGGATCCAGCAAACTGTGCTCAGTGCTACCATTGAACTATTGGTCTTGGGTGCTGTAAGAAAGCACACTAAGTAAGCCATGAGGAGAGAGACTGTAAGTAGTATTTCTCCATGACCTCTGGTTCCTGCATTGAGTTCCTGCCTTGAATTTCCTACAGATAGATTATGATTAGGACATTTAAGCAAGCTGAAAAAAAAACCCTTTCCTCCCCAAATTGCTTTCGGTCATGGTATTTTATCACATCAATAGAAACCCTAACCAAGACAAAACATTAATCCTTTATCTGAGATCAGACACAAAGGGAACATGTCTTAGCAAGAGCTCTGCCACAATTGCTAACACTGGGCCATACTGGAATGTGTCTTGTTCTTCCATGCTAAGGTACTATCACCCCTAGTCCCCACCTTCTTTGTGGGGATCACAGGAAGCCTGCTGCATGCAGCTAAGGTGGCATCTTACGTTTTATGCATTAAAATTAAGTTGAGAATCCACTGCACCCATTTCTTGAGCCCTGATCAATTAAGCACCTCTTGGCTAATATGCTTAAATACACACAAATTTATAAATCAAAGTATTACTCTGTTAGGACACTGTACTCTGAAGCAGAACACTGGGGTTTTGCAGGGATGACCTTTAGGCAACAGGTGCCCTTATGATTATCATTTTTTAGTAACTGCACAAGTTCAAGTTCTATATAGAACTTGAGCAAGGCAACAGCTTCTGATAGGCAACATGAACTTTACAGCCATGACAGATAACTGAATGCTAAGGAGACATTTGTCAAATGTTTGGGAAACAAGGTTTGTAGCTTTCCATCTGGGTAATTCTGGGTTAGAATGAAAAAAAAAATCAAACTATGCAAACATATCTCCTTATTGCCTGATATTGTTTTGACAGCCAGGTGTCACTTTCAGCAACAAAAACCAAATCCCTTATCCATCACAGAATTACCTGCCTTACTTGTCTAGTTTCAGCAAAACTTCTGGGATACAAAGCACTTGACCTAAGGTCCAGATGTCTGCTCAGTATGCTCACATCTTCCTATGTGTAGGTATCCACAGGAGTGAAACTACAAACATCTGCAGCAACCAAGAAAGACATGAAAAATGCAAAAACCACAAACTTCTCTTTTGAATACTTACTGCTCAGTATTTTAGGTGTCTGATTCCTTACAAAAGGACTAGAAGGCAGCACCAGTGGCAGTACTGTGGAATCCTCTGTAAGCAGCTGGCAGGTCAGAAACACCAGCCTCAGGCCTCCAGCTCAAGCTCACTACTAGGTGCTTGTGTGTGGAAGGAGTATGGAGAAAGCAAGTCAAGTTCAGTGTAGGACATATTAAGTTTATCATGGCATTTCAGGTTGATCGAATAATCAACATTCTCCTTACAGTACCCTGGGATGACATTAAAAGTAATTCTCTTATAGTAATAACACTAAAATCATGTAATATTAAGAAATACAAGAAATAAAAAAGCCATGCTTATGCCATCTGCATGCTGCAGGTACAAAACTTAGTGCCTCCACTGAATTAACAGACTCTGACATAAAAATTCAGCAGTTACTATGATAATAAGTATTTTAGAGATATGTTATAATATCTCTAATTCAAACAAAGCAAAAAGACAACAGTATTTTATTTCTAGATGTTGTGGAATTTCAACTCATTCCTTAGATAACTCCCTGAATATAAAATTGTGATATACAAAGTGCCAAAAACTGGAGCTATGGGGCACTGTGCTACACTGCAGCAAAGAATGCAGCCTGAAGCCCCCTTCATCTATCATTGAGTTTGTAAGAACATAGATTGAGCATGCAAACCAAGGGGTCAAAGGTCAGCTTAGTCTCTACCACGCCATCAGTCCTGGCCTGGAGGAGGCCCAGCTCTGTATCATTACATCCCCAAACTTAAGGCTGAAATCCTTTCTAAGATAACAATTCCACTCCAAAACCAATGTTTTCTATAACTAGCCTCCCTCTCTCAAATTTCAGCTTCAGTATCTCACCACTGTAGGTACAACTGCCCTCAAGCTACTGGCTGAAATTCTAAGAGTGCAAGCTGTCTTTAACCTAAAACCTCATGGCACTAGGATGCTGAAAGCAGAAACCTACTAGGAGAGCCTGTGCCTGTACTGAGCACAGGAGGAGGGTAAGAATACCAAGGACCAACACCAAACCACAATGACACAACATGGACAGCTTTAACTTCCTAATGCTTCTGATGGCACCAAAAGAACTAGTTGTGTTCACACCAGTCACAGGATACTCACTCAGGCTCCATCAACATTTTAAATGCTATTCAGTATGCTAGATAGTTCTCAGCTTCAGCCATACATTTTATTATTTTCCTATGATTCTGAAAGCAAACAAAACAGTATGCTTATACACGTGTGATAAAGACTCTACTCTCCCTGCAATGTCCCAATCTGATGGTAAAAAGATGGTCATAAGAGGCATAGCAGACACTGGTTACAAACCATAACAATGACAAGCACAGCAAGACATATCCAAGGGTGCAACAGTGGCACTTTTATCTGGAAGGTAGCCAACAGCAACATAATTGGACTTAAGGCTTATTCAAAAGGGGAGAATTCATGGCTGGTACTCTAACCTACTAACGATGCTGAACCCTAAACTAGTATAATTCCCAACACCAGTCTAATGTTTTGTATCCACAGATAAGAGTAGCTCTTGTTGATCATCAAAGAAACTTGTTTTTGTAGCAGATAGGGACCATCACAGAAATTCATACCTGGTCAAAATTCAAAGACCTACTAAATGTGGGGTGTCATCCCCAGTTGATAAATTGCAACACACTCCCTACACCCAAGGTTCAGGAAACATCATGGAAGATACTCTGGGAAGAAAGACTAAATCTATACAAGCCAGAGGACCAGAACATCTACTGAGAAATAGAGTTTTCTATATATGACACAGAGTTGCACCCAATACAGCCACCCAAAGAAAACTTTGTACAATGACCTAACTAGCTGATATCCCAAGGTAAAGGGGAGAAATCTCACAAGGTCCTACCTATAGATTAAAAAGCTATAGGCAGTTAATGGTTCCTCGGTGAGAGAGATTGATTTTTTTCCAGGGATAAATTCCATGATAGGCTATCTAATCCTAAGTGGTCATCCCTAAACACACATACCTATAAGCAACACTGAACAGATTCAGTAGGTTGTATTTATATATAACTGTGTCTTTTCTCTGTGTCTCTCTTTGCTACTCTATGTGTATATGTATGTGAGATAGACAGACAGACAGATAGACAATCAAAAAGACAAAAGTTGAGTAGTTGGAGGGGGAAAGAATATGATGTAAATACATGACCATGCATAAAAATATCAAGAAATAGTAATAAAATCAATGTTAAAATATAAGAGGGACACAGCAACTGAGTCAGGTAACTGCCTGCCTGCTTGGTTACTTTGAGGGAGCTCTTAGCTGAATTTACTTATTTGTGGAGCAGTTAGAATAGCAGACCTGCCCTCATGAGGTCACTATGAGGAATGCTAGAATTAATATGTAGGTCTTAGGAGAGGGACGGTGTATCGAAGGCTCTGTTCCTGGACATAGTGCTATGTTTTTTAAAATGTTAGAAATGCCTTCAATGTGGGATGTCTATGACATTCTAGATCACAGAAGAAAATGCTCAAGACAGTATTTTACTTGAAAAGAGGCTTAATGAGACAGACAGCTGAGAATCCCAGTAACAGCTGTCCCAGTAGCAGAGAAGATTAACCTCCCTCCAGCTAGTGGTTAACTAGCAGTGGTTAACTAGCAGAGGAGCCAGACAATGACTATCAGAAAGAATTTTTTCCTCAGGATGGATTATTTTCAATGCAGTAAGAGCATTTTTCTTTCAAGCAATACATATTTTACAAAGTAAATTATGAATGTTAAACAAGATCATTGTAATGCTAATACTGAAACAAGTCAAAGTTTCTACACAATGCCCATAGTACAAAACAATTAACTATTTATACCAATGTCCACTGATATATAAATCTTGTTGGACTGCATGATGAAAAGTAACTAAATGTTATTATCACCTTGCATTTTAGTTGCTGAGGTTATCTGGTTAATAATCCCAACACTGATGACTGTCAGATGCAAGAAACAAGTGCCTATATCCTCCACAGTGACCCCAGCCTTCATTCTATGTACCTTACCACTCACACTTAATAAAATCAGGGGAAGAGCAGCAGGCAGAGCCTGCTTACTCTGTAATTCATCTGTATAGACTGCACACATGTACCTTGAAGGCATTTTCCATCCTTTTGATTTGCCTCCCAGAACTTCCTGCTACTATACCCATAGTAGACTATGTCCTCTCTATGTGTCTACATACCCTGCACTCATTTCAATAACACTAACCATGTTTTGTTCTCACCTGCATTCACTCAGCTGGACTCTGTCTAGGACCTGGACTTGAGTCACCAGATGAGAAGCAGCTCTTAGGCTGCCATGTTCGTAGCCCTACCACCAAGCACAGAAAATCTGCCTTCTCGTGATAAATTCCGGGTTCTGTATGAGTTGACTGTGTGAGCCTAACAAACCGGTACCTCAAATCTCATGGAGGACCTATGCCATCCTGAAGGGAAGGATACGTTCAGCAAAGTGGTATGCAGAAGGAGCAGGCAGACCCAAGGAGCATAGTTACTTACTAGGCTAAGGGTCTACAAGTTCTGGGGAAGGAGCCACAACTAGGCTCAGGAGCCAGTGCTCGAGGATCTTTTCTCCATAGAGCAGCTGTGTAAACAACTCTCATGATCTGTTTGCAAGGGACACCTTAGCTCACCCCACTACCCTGGATTAT